TTTTAATTTCTTGAGGAAACGCCATATTGTTTTCCATAGTGGAAACCACTCTGCATTCCCACCAGCAGAGTGCTAGAATCCCCTTTTCTCCACACCCTTGCCAGCACTTGTTTGATAAGCCATTCTCTTTGATATAATTGAAAACTTTTCTCTGCCAGCAATAAAATCAGCACAACAGACTGAATTAATTGCATTAACTCACTCCTCCATCCACCCCTCCGCAGCGTTCCTCTCTGTTGCCAGTGCTGCTCTCTTAAGTGCAAATCCTGGTCATCATTTGCCTGGATTATTGCAAAGGACTCCTAGTCAGCCTCCCCTTCTTCCAGTCTTTGCATTCTGGTTCATCATCCAGATAATCCACTGGTTAGATTCCTTCTTTAAACCCCAGACTCCAGTACTAAATCTGATATGTTCCTGCTTAAAAGTAGCCATGCCTGCCACCCACCCTGCTCCCCAACATTGCCTGCAGAACAGAGTTCACGTGCTTCAGCACAGCCTACATGGCTTCTCGGGTTAGCTTTGCCCTCCCACTGCAGCTTACTGGTCTTGGCCTTTCACACCTCAGCACCTTGGCACTTGTTTTATTTCCCTCAACTGCCCAGAGTGCCCTCCCCCCCCTTTCTGTCACCTAAATTTGTCCTAATTATCATGTGAGCCCCAGTCCCACTGAAAGCTTCCCAAACTCTCATATCCCACTTGCTGTAACTGCTGCAGTGGAGGTGACTCGGGTTTCTTTTATCCTGTTGTCCTTCCAAGATGCAATGTGGACACACTGGGAAGTTAACCAAAGTGATCATGAAAGTAACCACACCTGATCTATATGTCTTCTTGGTCACTTTGCCTGCCATTCAATGACTTGATGGTCATTTCTATAGTGGTAACAGAGAAAAGTGACTGAAGAAAATGCTTTTTACTTGGGTCCAGGGCATTTCATCACACATTTGTAGTAATGAGATTAACCAAAATTGCCAGGGTAGTCTCATCAAATTTCAGTAGCATCAGTGAGAGTGCAGAAAGGCCTTCCGGGTATTTTCAAAAATCAGCATTTGTGGTGGCAAAATACTGGTCTTGAAAATATGAGATTAATAAGTCACCTCTTCAGGACCTCTTTACATACCAGCTGGCCTAGTGCACACAGCACACAGCACACAGCCTGTGAGATGAAGGTCTCATGTGGGAGCAGCCACTCAGACTCTGGCCCGTGGTGTTACTGCAGGCTGGGCTTGAGTTACAGCAGGTGAGGCCACAGAGCACGTGTGTCTGGCTCGGCTGCAGTGTTCGGTGTCCCCAGCATTAGATACATATTTCAGAGAAATCGGGTCACAGCACGCAGGTTTATTTTGATGTACAACACCATATTATGATGAGATTGAAGAAGAAATAAAAGTACAAAGACTCAGCCATTTAACTTTTAGCAAGTTGGAATATATCTTCATGTGTAATTTATTGGACTAATTTCATTTTAATAAATACTGGACTCCTTCATTTTAAGTGTCCATTACATTTAATTCATTAAAACCATATATACTCCAGAACATTTATTAAAGACATTTATAGCTATCATATCCACAAGAGAGGGCAAAAAATGCTTCAGAAACAAGTTTCAACATTCATCTCAGTACGGGGGAACAGAAATTGAAAAATCGCTGGTAAAAGTTTAGAGATACACTATAGTTTCACAGAAAATGTTTAGCGATTAATGAAGACTTAAAACCTCATCTCTAACTGGCTTTTTGTCATTTTATGTAACTGAAAAATCTAAGATCCTTTTTAATTCTAGCACATCTTGATCCAGGGGTTCAAATAATATTAACAAGGCTAGATTACGCTTCATCTTTCTGGTGTGCTATGAAAAATGGTTTCAGAATTGACAACTGCAGGTCCAGTTGAAGTACTGTGTCTCAATAGTCCAACAAAGAAGCCCTCCAATCGGGACCCATGGTCCTGTGCCCCTCCCAAACCAATTGGCTAGGCCTGGATCATGTGGCCCCTCTTGGAGCTGGAGGAGGGAGTCAACTCCATGTGAACTGTGAACTGAAAATGAGAGGGCGGGGGGGTGATTTCACAAAGAAAATCCAGTGTGTTAGCATGAGGAGAAGACAAGTATGTTGGGCAGACGACACAAAACAATAACAAGCACTATCCCCTTCCAAGGCAGAGGGAGCTAACAGCCCTATTACCCTGTAGTCAATAGCCCGCTGGTGGGCTCCACCTTGATTCCTTGTCTCCAACTCCCTTTACCCTTCATTGTAGCTAACTATGTCCTGTATCATCATTCAGTTATCTTTCTGGGACAATTCCAATGTCAAATATGCTGTACTAGAGGCCAAAATTTATATTTAGTAGATCACATGTTGGATTTCTCTCTGCTTTGGAAAATATGCTCCTGATGTGTAGCATCCCAGGAGAGGCACAGAGAAACTGACATGGAGACATCCCTCCACACCCTTCACCACCGCCAACTGAGGAGTGTTTGAAAGGGGCTGGGATGCTGCCTACGGGGTTTATTTGACAACTAGTGAGTTTTTTCTCTCTGCCACAAGCAAAGCAAAACCTAAACCTCCAATAACTGGAAGCGTTGGCAGCAGCTCAATGAATTGTGTGTGAGAGAACTTACAAAACAGTGGTGAGTATAAAGACTGCGGAAGTCAGCTCTGCACTTTCTCTATACAAAGGCAGTTAAGACAAAACCACGACCAGCCTAGGAAAGTACAGATGATCTAAATAAAAGTCTCTGGGTACTTAGGCAGGGTCACCCAAGGGGTGACAGCAGCCCTAGGGCATTCACCAGGCAACAGCAAGCAAAGCTCTTAGTGGGAACTTCCACGCTGAGACAAAGGGATGGGAATATCCTGGGAATTGTTTGGCAATGACCAACAAAACTCCGCATGGAGAGAGGAGAGCCTAGAACCTTTTCAGGTAAAAACATCCCTCTTTATTTCCATTTTCTCCAAGAGCCTTATCAGAAGTGGAGAGGAGGTTTGAGGGCACTGTGTGTGAAGCGGGGTGCCAAGTAACTTTAACTGAAATTAGGCCCCATCTTCTCAGCAGTGATTCCAAAGTCCAGCTGGGAAAAGGTAACTGCAGGAAGAATTCCATTGTAGCTCAGTGAGGGCTCAGGAATAATATAACACTATATAACATTTAACTGTTGCATAAGGTTACTAAAAACAAAAACAAAAAAAACCAAGAAAGTTAAGTAAAATCTAAGTATAGTTTTTTTTTTCTTTATTGATTTTAGAGAGAGAGGGAGAGAGATAGAAACATCGATGAGAGAGAACATCGATTGGCCGTCTCCTGCATGCCCCTCCTGGGGATTGGGCCCACAACCTGGGCATGTGCTCTGACCAGGAATCAAACCAGCGACCTCTTGGTGCATGGGTCGATGCTCAACCACTGAGCCACACCAGCCAGGCACTAAGTATAGTTTTTTTAAAATGTACTTTCCTTGCCCTGGCTAGTTTGGTTCAGCGATTAGAGCATCGGCCCACAGACAGAAACACCTTGGGTTCAATTCCCAGTCAAGGGCACATACCTGGGTTGCAAGTTCAATCCCCACCCTGGTCAGAGTCCTGCAGGAGGCAGCCAATTGATGTGTCTCCCTCACATCAATGTTTCTCTCTCTCTCCCTCCCTCCCTTCCACTCTATCTAAAAAAATCAATGAAGAAATATCCTTGGGCAAGGATTAAAAATAATAATAAAAAGAATAAATTCCTCATTTTTCTTTTATATAATTAGATGATGTTAATAAAAATTTTTTTCTTTTATATATTCATATTAAGTACATCAGCTCTTGCTCAAAGCTGAAGGCATCCTGTTGGGCTATAGTTCTGAAAAGGCATTGCTATGTGGTTAACCAACGTAAAATGGCTCGAGCATTCATTAAATACATATTTTAGGACACCTACTTCATGCCAGGTTCTGAGCTGGTGCTGAGGACAGAGCAGAGCCCACGCAGACGTCTGCCCTGCCTTGCCCTATTGCAGCTTTCTAGTGACCTGCTTAGACACAGGGTTCCTGCAGGCCTGCTTGGCTTTCTTCTTTTCTTCCAAGGATTCAGGTTTTTCAGACTGAAATAACATACTTAGCAGTAGATACTTGTCAAATGTGTGGCTGCCCAGAATCTTTTGAATACTCTTCCTATATTTGGGCATTTTCTCCAAGATAAAAGTCCTGCCTCTCCAAGGCAGAAGCCAGAACTCAATTACCCAGACTGTCTTGAAACTAGAGCACATGCAATGGCCTAGGTGTTGCCAATTGGGGCCCACATGATTCTATGATTTCAGAAGACAGCAAATCAAGGATGCAAACTTCTCGAAGAATCTAACTTCAAGAGGGGGTGAGAGTGGAAGAATCTGGCTTTCCAGGGCAGCACTGATAAAGTTTTGGGCATCTAGTGTCCCACAGTGTGAACTGCGGTGGTGGCTCCAGACGGATCTGTGTCCGGCTGTGCAGATCACAGGCCTCTCTGGAGATACTGTGAGCTACCTGAGAATCTCAGCTGCTTATCTTTTAAAAACTAGTTAGAGTGAGTTCTGTTCTTTGCAAAGAACTATGACTAATATACATATTGAGCTACAGTTATGTGCCAGATTCTAAGCTGGTATATCCTGTTACTTTATTTAAATTTCATAAACATAATTTAAAGTACAACTATTATACATTTTACAGATTTAAGAAACTGAGATTCAAAAGGACACTTAATTCATTCTACAAATATTTATTAAAGGCCTACTGTGTACTAGCCACCAGGAATAGAGTATTGAGCAAAACACTTCCCTGCGACTATAAAAAGAATGGCACAGTGTATTTTAAATGCCCCCTTACCGAAATAAGCCGCACAGTACGGCAGCTGTCTGGAGAGAACATCATGCCAGTCAGGCTTCATTTTAAATATAGAAAAACCCTAAAAATAGCCGCCCAGCCCAGGCCCAACAGGTGATTGGCCCCAAGAGAGGGGAGGAGAGCCTGGGCCCCAGCGAAGGGGGCCTGGGCCCCAGTGAAGGAGGGCGAAGGGACCGTGCGGTCGGTGGTTCCCAGCGCTTCGCCATGGCTCTGATGGCTCTGCCTCTGAGGTCCCTGAGTCGAGGCTTTGCGAGTGCAGCCCAGGGAGGCCACGGAGGGGCAGGAGGTGAGTGGACCCTGTTGCTTCTTCACCTTGCACACCCATACCCCCTCCCGCCTCCAGGGCCTTGCAGGGTCCTGGCGAGCCCCCTCCCATGGGAACTCCCCCCCCCCAGCCCCCCTGCGCCCCTCCTTGACCCGCCTGTTGCGCTGCAGCCGGCACCTGGCGCCTCCTGACCTTCGTGCTGGCGCTGCCCGGCGTGGTGCTCTGCTCGCTCAACTGCTGGCTGCACGCGGGCCACGGCGAGCGCCCCGAGTTCGTGCCCTACCACCACCTGCGCATCCGCACCAAGGTACGCCCAGGCCTCGCTCCGGGCAGGAGGCGGGGCGCGGCCGGCTGACCCCTCACTGTCCCCTCACTGTCCCCTCCTCTCTCCACAGCCCTTCTCCTGGGGGGACGGCAACCACACTCTTTTCCACAACCCCCACGTCAACCCTCTGCCCACCGGCTACGAACGGCCCTGAGGCCCAGGCGGAGGCCCCCAGCTCAATAAAGATGTGGAAGCTGTGTGTCCGCAGCTCTGTGAGGACCGCGGGGCGAGGGGGGGGGGGGGTGGAGTGTGGGGGGCAGGGCGGGAGGGACCCGCCCCCGCCCCCGCCCCCGCCCCCGCCCAGCGGCCTGCCCGCACCTGGCACTTGCGCGCATGAGCACGGGGTGGGGGGGCGTTCTCTCCCCAAGGCCTGACTTGGGAGCGGCTGGGGACCCATCTTCCTTCTTGCTCACCCATGAATAGTTAGGGCTCTAGGCTGTAAATGGCTTTCACAATGAATCCGTGAATACTAACTGGAAACAACCCTGATTCCTAACGCAGGATCTACAGCCCTGTGTATGAGGCTCGCGACCTAATTCTGCGTGGGGAAGATTGCAGTCGTTCCCCATGACCATCTTTAATGGGTCTTCTGTGTTAGTTTAGGAAATCAAATGCTCCTTTCTGGGAGCCTGGCTCTCCTAGCTTCCGGACACCCCATTCGAGGGGGTCATTGATTCAAACCAGCTCTGGACATGTCATTCACCTTCTAGGATAGTGTGCTCAGCGTCCATTGCCAAGGAGCACAAGCCTGGGCTGAAACCCGTTATCAACACACACGAACACCATCTGGCCTCCAGCCCTGACACTGCTCACAGCGCCACTAAGAGAAGCCAGTTGCAGGCCTCAGGCACCTGCAAAAGAGAACGTTCTCTGCCCACAGACAGGTTCACCCAGCCCTGCCCAGAGCAGCAGTCCGGCCCTGGATTAGAGCTGTTTCATACCAGGACAATGTATTATAAATTTCCTCTTTTAATGTGACAATTCCCATACATAAGAAAAGTCATGCTGGCATCACGCCTGCTTCCGTAAAAGTGGGTTAACACTGAGGAAGTTGGCCAGGCCTTGGGAAGGTGGTGTGTGCCTGGTAAGTTGCTCAGGCCAATCAGATCTATGCAGAAGTTATTCCCATGGAAGCAGATATAGGGGCCCGGGCAAGACCAGCCCATGGGGGTAAGATGAACAGAGAAGTAGATTATTAGGACAAAGGCAAATCTGGGGCCTCCCCAGTGAATGTGGCAGTGTCTTCGGGCTTGTCACCCAGCATTTCCTTGTACTGACGTTTGAAGAAACCAAGCTAAGGAGGGAAGTAAATCAGAAAATCTGGGTAAGAGAGCAGGGAAGAAAGTTGAGAGTAAGGAAAAAGCTGTGAGGGAAGAAGGAACTGACTTGTGTCTGTGTGCCAAACACATGTGAACAACAGCTCTCGTGGTTTGAGTATCTACTGTGTTCTAAGAACAGTGGTTATCCATATAATCTAGAGCAGAAAAGCATGGATTCTGAGGTCAGCTGGGCTGTGTACATATCCTGGCCTCATTGCTGTCTTGCTTCAGCCACTCTGTGATATGGACGTTATTATTATTTCAAAAATGGGAAACAATCCCAGAGAGATCGAGCAACTTGCATGACATTAAGCAGTAAGACAGCCAAAATGTGCACCTAGGCTGGCCTTATTCCATTGTCCGAGTTCCTGCTATGCCACCCATCTGTGGGAGGGCTTGGGTTGGATGCTGGTGGTGTCCGGTGTGGGAGGGACACTCACCTTGTACAGGACGGCTGTGATGAGCGCCAGCAGCAACAGCCCGCCCACAGAGCTGCCCGCAATGAGGGGGACAGGATCGTAGACCTCGTACTCTTCCACCACCATCTCCATCTGATTTGGGGGTCAGAAATATCACACCTCTGGCTGTCTCAGACTCTACCCGCCTTCTCCAGTCTTTAACTCCCTCCCCTGCTTCCCCAGGCCAACCCCAAGGGGGAGAAACAGAAGCAACCATGGGTTTAGGGACCGCTGTCCCATTCAGGGATCTTCGTCCTTCCTCCCCCGGGCTTGTGAGCCCCCCACCCAGCATCACAGATTCAGCATCAGAAGCCCTCTCCCCAACCTGCCTACTGCCTACCACACAGTCACTACCTGAGCTCTCAAAAACGCCTCCTGTCCCGGAAGCTGGGAATACACAGATCTGTTGAACGTGATTTCAGCCACAGTCACGACCAGCACCTTCTTCTGCAGTGTCTGCAAAGAGGAGCAGGAGAGCTGGGAGCGAGCTCCGGGGAAGCTCAGTCACAGAAATGTCCTAGCTTGATTGAGGATGGGCACAGACACCTCAGGTACCACCTGCGCCTGAGACAGGGCCCTGCCGTTGGGCCTACACACCTGGCTGACCCAGCGGAAGCTGAGGTTGCCCTTCAGGATGAAGTCAAGTTCCTCCTGGATGCCAAAGGAGGGGATGTCACAGCGGAACCTCTGGCAGTCAGCAATGGAGCAGTTCTGGGGACAGGAGAGGAATGAAGGTAAGGAGTCTAAACTTAGGAACCACAAGAGAAAATAAAGTGTTAGATCTGGGCTGAGGAATCTGTTCACAATAGCTCTGCAACCCAGCGCTGCATTTCCCTGGGTTCCCTAAGGAGCAGCTGGTCCTACCGTGGGAGCCCAGGGCCTTTCTCACCAGCACGAGACTCCCTGGAATCTGAGTCTGGAAGTCAGAAAGCTGCGGAGGCTCCATCTCCGACACACATGAGAGACTCTAGTGAGGGAGAGAAATAGTTCCAGGATGATCAAAATGTCCCTGGTAAGAGAGTGTGAGGCACTGTGGGGTCAGACCCTGCGCAGTGAGGAGAGTCAGGCAGGCACCTGTGAAGGGCCCTCCACAGCCACGTCCCATACAGCCACACCGTTCAGCAGGGCCGGAACCCAGAAATGAACGCTGATGGCCAAATCTCGCTGGCTCAGGTTATTCACCTGCAGGAGATTGAGAGAGCATTACTGTGGTCCCTGGAGCTTCCCAAATCCCATTTCTTTCTTTTCTGGTTCTAGCTCTCAGTTCCTCTCCATCTTTTCCCAATAACATTCTTTCTTTTTTTTTAAATATGTTTTTATTGATTTTTGTTTGTTTGTTTGTTTTTTAGAGAGGAAGGGAGAGGGAGAGATAGAAGCATCTATGTGAGATGCCTCCTGCATGCCACCTGCTGGGGATCAAGCCTGCTGGGCATGTGCCCTGGTCAGGAATTGAACTTGTGACTTATTGGTGAATGAAATGACGCTCAGTCCACTGAGCCACGCCGGCCAGGCTCCCACCAACTTTCAATGTTAGCAACACCGTGGGAGGGCGGATATGAATACTCCCTGGCCTCACACGATATCGATGCTCGGCTTCTTTACTGCTCTTCGCAGAAGGTGAAAAGTTGAAGTACTTGGTGGAGTCTTCCTTCCTGGAGAGAGAGGGCTTGTTGGTGAAAAACAGCCTTGGGACCATCCTCAGTTGTGCCCTGGCCTGCTGCCAAGGGCTCTTTGGGCCCAGCAGATAACCCAGGGAAACGATGAGGGTTCTCACAAGTCTGCAGCCTCCGCTTCAGCTCCTCTCCCCACAGTCCTTCGCCCTCCTCACCACAACTGGTGGCTCATCCCTGGCTCTCCTATCCCTGTGACTTTGCTCAAGCTCGCTCTTCTGCTTGAGTGTCCTCACTCCTCTTCTGGGAATTTTCACTTAAAGGCCCAACTTAAACATCACCCCCCGTAACATTTAAACATTCCCCATGGAAAAAGGTGTTTACAAGCTTCTTGTAGATTTGCTTTCTCTGGCAGTGATTTTCAACTGGTGCACTGCAAGAATGTTTAAAACATACAATACCTGACTATTCAGTCAGGGGCACTGACCTCTTTTCCCTTAGATTGTCAAATTTTAACAACATGACAACAGCCAGCACAACAGTTGCCATTCAGTGTGAATGAATCAAAAGTATACCTATTTTTGCCCTGGCCGGTTTGGCTCAGCAGTTAGAGCGTTGGCCTGCGGTACAGAGAGACCCGCGTTCGGTTCCCGCTAAAGGCACGTACCTCGGTTGCAGTTTGTCCCCGTCCCTGGTTGGTCGTGCGGGTGGCAGCCACTCGATGTATCCCTTCACATCGATGTTTCTCTCTCTCTCTCTCCCTCTCTCCCTCCCGCTCTGTCTGAACAAAAAATGCAAAAATGTCCTCAGGTGAGGATAAAAAAAAAAAAAGTATACCTATTTTTTGTCAGGTCAGCAAAAAAATACAATATATCTTTTGGTGTGCCACAGAATTTTAGTGATTAGTTTATGTGCCACGAGATGACAGAGGTTGAACGTTGCTGCTCTGGTAGATGCGTGGCTGGCTTGGGGCCAGCCTGCACAGGCTGCCGTGAGGACAAAGAAGCCTGAGACGCGAAGGAATGACGACTGGATCCCTCCAGAAAAAACGGAGCCTGAGCCTCTTCATGATGGGAATGAAGACGATAGATGGGACTCTCCTGGGGCAGTTAAATAAATGTGATGGAAGATGGTACATGGACACAAGCCTATGGAATGGACATAAATGTTCCTGCCTGCAGGTGGCTTTCCATCCATCCTTCCATCCATCTATCCATTCATCTATGGCCTCCTTCAGTAAACATTTACCCTGTGCCAGACTGTGTGCTTGGATCTGGAAATTCAACAGTTAACCAGTCGTAAGTCTTGTCTTTGCAGACCACAGATGTGGCTGTCAGCTTGATGATTAAGAACGTGGAGCCAGACCACCTGGGTTCACATCTCAGGTGCACCACTTCCTGCCTGAGTAATGTAAGGCCAGCTACTTAACCTCTCTGCAGACTTGTAGTTTTTTACTCTTTAAAATGGGGGTGCTAATCATAGTGCCAACCTATAATGCAGATGTGGTGAGGTTTATGGCAGTGCTGTAAATGTGAGAATTTATTGTTTCCTTTAGTATTGTTAGTCTTCTCTGCTACCCACTCGACCCTTTATCTCTCTGCTTCAGTTTTCTCACCTTAAAATCTCCTTGTTCTAAACCTCTTGTTATACTTGAGTAAGTCACTCAGCTCTGCAGTATGGCCACTGGCACAAGCTCTGGACCATCTGGGTTTGACTCCTGGGTCTGCCACTTACCAGCTGAATGACAGGGCAAGTTTTTTAATCTCTTGATTTATTTGTTGGTAAAAAGGGGGTAACAATAATTATATCATAGAATTGTTAGAAGGATTAAATACATATAAATACTTGTAAAGTACTTAAAACAATGGCTGGCACATCCTAAGTGTATACAACTGTAAGTTCCTACTCTGAGCGTTAGTATTTTCCCATAGACAGAAGGGGATACACACATGGAGTTTGAAAAGGCAGTGACACTGCTTGATCCCCCATCTCTCATTCCCCTAAAAATGCACAGGTCCGCAGCAAACTGTCCCATGGCAACACTGTAAGTGTCTGACCAACTCGCTAACCCTGCGGAGCCAGCCAGGTACGTGGAGCTCCTTGCCCTGCTTGCAGCCTGGCCGGCCCTCCTCCACCACCTTCTGCCCGGAGCAGCCTCCCTACACTCGCCTTTCTTGTGGCCTGTCTTGGCCTTGGGCTCTAAAGGTCATTTATCACATCTCTGCTGTCCTCTCAGTTTTGTGAAAACTTGACCTTTTCTTTCCTCTCTGTGGTAAAAGATCCTGTCCTGTCAGGCACAAGTTCTTGCTCCAGAGTCCTTAGAAAAGCTTCAGTCTCAACCTAGTATTTGGCACAAAGGGTCGGAGTGCTTCATGCTCACGAAGGCTGATCACGGACAGAGGGGAGGTCGTACACAGTAGCAGCACGGTGTGTGTGTCCCACCAGCAGGCTGCTTCGTCACAGAAGAAGCAAGAATTATGGTACAGGCACACCTCAGAGATACTGTGGGTTCAGATCCGGACCATCTCCATGAAGCAAATATTGCAATTAAGTGAGTCAAAAGAAATTTCTGGTTTCCCAGTGCATATCAAGGTTATGTTTACATTAACACAGTAGTCTATTAAGTGTGCAATAGCAATGTGTCTGAAAAATAAACATACCTTAATTTTAAAAATACTTTCTTGCCCTGGCCGGTTTGGCTCAGCAGTTAGAGCATCGACCCGCAGACCAATGAGTCACAAGTTCGATTTCGGTCAAGGGCACGTACCTCGATTGCGGTTCGTCCCCGGCCCTGGTTGGGTCGTGCAGGAGGCAGCCAGTCGGTGTGGCTCCATCACATCGATGTTTCTCTCTGTCTCTGTCTCTCTCTCCCTCCCTCCCAGTCTGTCTGATGATAAACGGAAAAATATCCTCAGGTGAGATATTTTTAAAAAAGAGAAACAAATACTTTCTTGCTAAAAAATGCTACCTATCATCTGAACCTGTTGGAAAAATGGCACAGATAAATTTGCTTGACATGAGGTTGCCACAAACCTTCCATTTGTAAAAAACGAAAACAAACAACAACAGAAAAACCAGTACCTGTGAAGTGTAACAAGAGATGTGTTGGCATGTGGCACTATGGTATAAGTGCGTGGCTGGTTACAAGTATTTACACGTGAGGAACCAGAGGGACTAGGTTAGATACGCATCCTCAAAGGAGCAGGCTGGGCTGCAGGGGGAGGTACTAGGCTGGGGGAGGGTCAGAGGTGCAAGGGAAGGGCCGGGGATTGATCACCTGCTAATCACTGTGTAGACGGCATATTTCACTGGCAGCTCCAACTGGAACGTAGTCTTGTTGGTTGCAGGCTTATTATTCTCACTGGAGAGAGGGGGAGCCCAGTTGGAAAGGAAACCAGGAGAGGAGTCTCTGGCTGGTACAGGAGACTGGAGGGTGAAAGACACACCAGACCTGGCCTGGGCTCACCTGCTCACGTTGGCCCTCAAAAGCAACTTGTCTCCCAGAGAGGCCTTGTAGAAAACATCAAATGTGACTATGAAGGTGCCCTGAGGGAAGAAGAAGGAACGGGGAGGGGGAAGGTGATGGGAGACTGAAGGAAGCAAGGAGGTCAGGATGAGGCCGAAGGGTGACGAGGGTTTGGGGGTAAGCGCTGACCTTACCGCCCTCGCGGAAGACGGAGTGGTTGATGCTGCAGCTGCTGCTCCTCAGGTCCTCACTCCCGGTGGGCACTGCCTCGCATGCTAGGTGCAGTGGGCGCTGACGGGGTTGCTTCCCGAGTAGGAGAATTAATTCCCAACAGTTACCCACATGCATGTATGAGCCTGATATATTACAGCGGTGGCCTTACAGAGCAGTAAGGGAGAGGACAGACTTTTCAAAAAGTGATTCTGGGACAATTGGCCCATACAACAAACAACAACAACATTGGATCTCTACCTCACTCTGTCTATTACAATAAATTCCAACTAAAAGACATAAATGTCAAAAGGTAAAATTAGAAAGCTTTTAGAAGATACTATAAGGGAGTATTTTTTTCATTACCTTGGAGGAAGGAAATATTTCTTAAATAAGATTCACACACAAAAACAGTAAAGGAGGCTCCCAGTCAAGATGGCAGAACAGGTAACCTCTGTGCTCACCTCCTCCCACAACCACATCTAACTCACAGCTAAACTACAGACAAACCAGCATTGAGAACCACCTAAAGACTAATTGAATAGAAGTCCTATAACTATGGCTATACTTTACAGAAACCACATGGAGGCTGGTAGGAGGGATGGAGACACGGAACAGGTTGATCCCACACCACATGTGGTGGTTAAAAATCAGGAGAGATATCTTGACTGTGGGGGTACCCGTGAGAAGCAAGGGGTCCCAGCCCCATATCAGGCTTCCCAGGGGAGTGTTCCAGCACCAAGAAGAGAACTCTCCTCAACTTCTGGCTGTGAAAACCAGCGGGGGTTGTGGCTCAGTGAAATGGAGGGTTTCTGAAGTCCTAGGTATCCTATTAAAGGGCCTGTGTACAGCCCAGCTGGTGTGGCTCAGTGGATTGAGCACTGTCCCATGGACTGAGAGGTCCCAGTTCAATTCCCAGTCAGGGCACATGCCCAGGTTGTGGGTTCAGTCCCCAAGGGGGGCCTGAAGGAGGCAGCTGATTGATGTTTCTCTCTCATATCTATGTGTGTGTGTGTATGTATGTATATATGTATATGTATGTATGTGTGTGTATATATATATGTGTGTGTGTGTGTGTGTGTGTGTGTGTGTGTATATATATATATATATATATATATATATATATCTCCCTTCCTCTCTCTCTCAAGAAAGAAGGAGGGGATGCTGTGTACAGACTCACTTGCTGTGACCTTCAGCACTAGGGCAGCAGCTCAGAAAGCACCAGGGACATACGAGGAGGAACTGAATTGGCTGGCTTCAGGGCGAGGGCTGGAGGGGCACCTTTCTCCCAGACAGAAGCCATTTTTCCTTAGTTGAGCCTTCCCCCCACCCAGCCTGTATGTGCAGGTGGGCACCAGGTCTGAGTCTCCATCAGCTTGGCTAACACTGTTCACCCCACCCAGGCGATTCCCTTAAACCCCGCCCCAAGGCAGTTCCAGTGGCTTTTCCATACAAACAGCCTGTCTTGGCACATGCTTCAGACTTTCCTAAAATCTGTCAAGAAGCAGATGGCCTCTTGCAGCCCAAGCCCAGCACTAGCAGCTTAACCTCTACTAGGCACCTCCAAGCCCAGCACAAATGGCAACCATCAGTAGATCACTTTGTAACTTATGCCAGGTGGTACTGGGCAGGACACAGGCAGTGGCTGACTTTGGGCTGCACCCAAGCCACTCCCAAGAGACCCCAGAACCAACACACCCAGTGGCCAGCTTCAGACCACACCAGATACCACCCAACCACCTCCAGGGGCAGACTGGGAAGGCACCAGAGCCCCACTAAAGTGTATACTGTTCTGTGGGGTCAGCCCCTACACAACAGCTCATCTGTAGTCAAAACCAGTCCTCACAGCCAATCAACCTGAGGGTCAATCACTCCCATTGACATGCCAACAGCAATCAAGGCTCAACTACAACAGGAAGGTACACACAACTCACATAAGGGACATATCTGGAGCACCCAGCTCAGGTGATCAAGGAGACTGCACCACTGGGCCCTTACTACACATAGGATACCTACTACATAAGCCCACTCTACCAAGACTGGGAGGAATAGCAGCTCTACCTAACACATAGAAACAAACACAAGGAGGCAGCCAAAATGAGGAGACAAAGAAACCTGACCAAAATGCAAGAATAGAACAAAACCCCGGAAAAAGAATTAAACAAAATGGAGACAATCAATCTACCAGATGCAGTTAAAAACACTGGTTATAAGGATGCTGAATGAACTTAGGGCATAAACTTAGTGAGTAAATAAACTTAGTGAGAACTTTAACAAAGAGATAGGAAACATAAAAATGGAGATAGAAAACATTAAAAAAAAAAACCCAGCCAAAATAAATATAATAATTGAAATGAAAAATACCTTAGAGAGAATCAACAGTATATCAGATGAAGCAGAGGATCAAATCATCGATTTGGAAGCAAGGTAGCAGAAAATACCCCATTGGAAAGCAAAAGGAAAAAAAATTTTTTTAAATGAGGATAGTTTAAGGGGCCTCTGGGACAACATGTGTACTAACATCCACATCATAGGGGTGCCAGAAGGAGAAGAGAGAGAGCAAAAATTAAAAACCTATTTTAAAGAATAATGATGGAAAACTTTCCCTAACCTGTTTTTTAAAAATTGATAAACAGCCCTGGCCGGTTTGGCTCAGCGGTTAGAGCGTCGGCCTGCGGTCCGGAGAGACCCGGGTTCGGTTCCCGCTAAGGGCATGTACCTCGGTTGCAGTTTGTCCCCGGCCCTGGTTGGCCGTGCGGGTGGCAGCCACTCGATGTGTCCCTTCCACGTCGATGTTTCTCTCTCTCTCTCTCTCCCCCTCCCACTCTATCTGTGCAAAAAATGGAAAAAGAAAAAATTGATAAACAAGTTCAGGAAACACAGAGTCCCAAACTAGATGAACCCACGATGCTCTAACCAACTGAGCTACCTGGCAAAGGGACTTCTAGAAGGAGTAGGGGGGCGAGGGGAAGAAGGAGAAAGGAGGAGGACGACGGGAAAAAGAAGAAGAAAGAAGGAGGAGGAGAAGGAATAAAACGATGGATAATAAAATGGCAATAACTACATACTTATCAATAATTATTTAAAATTTTTGGTGTTTGGATAAAGATGTTGAAGGGATTAGCTAACGAACACATCAATAACAACTTTAAATGTAAATTAATTAAATACTCCAATCAAAAGACATAGGGTAGCTGAATGAATAAGAAAACAAGACCCAAATGTACACTGTCTTCAACACAGCCACCTCAGAATGAAAGATACACAGAGACTAAAAGTAAAGGGATGGAAAAAGATATTTTATACAAATAGAAATGGGGAAAAAGCTGGGGTAATAATACTAGAATAGACTTTTCTTTCTTTATTGATTTTAGAGAGAGAGGAAGGGAGAGAGGGAGAAACAAATTGATGAGAGAGAACAATAGTTGACCGCCTCCTGCATGCCCCACACTGGGGATTTGGCCCACAACCTGGGCATGTGCCCTGACCAGGAATCAAACCAGCGACCTTTTGGTGCATGGGTTGAGGCTCAACCAGTGAGCCACACCAGCTGGGCTAGACAAAATAGTCTTTAAAATTAAGGCTGTAACAAGCGACAAAGAAGGACTCAGCAATTACACTTCCAGGTAATTGGAAGTAAACACATTTATTCAAAGAAACTCAACACTAAATGAAAAACATATGCATCCATATGCTTGCTGGAGTATTGTTTACAATGGCCAAGATGAAGCAACCTAAGTGTCAACTGATGGACAAATGGATAAAGAAGTGGTTCATATATACTATAGAATATTACTCAGCCACCTAAAAGAATAAAATATTGCCATCTGCAACAGCATGGATGGACATAGAGGATATTATGTTAAGTGAAATGGGTCAGACAAAGAAAAACAAACGCCATGTGATTTCACTTGTATGTGGAATCTAAAAAACAAAATGAACAAACCAAACAGAAACTAACTTACAGATACAGAGAACATTTTGATGGTTGCCAGATAGTAGGGGGTTTGGGGAAAGGGGTGAAAAGGGGGAAGGGATTAAGATATGCAAATTGCCAGTTATAAAAACAGTCAGGGAGATGTGAGGTACAGCATGAGGCTTGCAGTCAATAATGTAATCACTATGTATGGTGGCAGATGGGTAGTAGACTTATTGAGGTGAATACTTTGTAAGTTATATAAATGTCTAATCAATATTTTGTACACCTGAAACTACTATAATATGGTGTGTCAACTATGATAAAAAATAAATAAAAAAATATTTTAAGATACACTAAATGAAAGATTAATAAAAATAAACCACAATCAAATTGAGACATCCTGTATATTAAAAGACACTATAAAGAGACTGAAACAAAGATATTTATTGGAAAAGATATTTGAAAACATGTAACTGGGCAAGGACTAATAACCAGAATATGTAAAAAACTCTTACAACTCAATAAGTAAAAGATGGACAACTCAATGGAAGAATAAGAAAAAGACTTGGACAAGAACTTTCTAAAAGAAGTCATCCAGCCCTGGCCAGTTTGGTTCAGTGGTTAGAGTGTCAGCCTGCGGTCCAGAGAGACCCAGGTTCAATTCCTGCTAAGGGCACATACCTTGGTTGCAGTTTGTCCCCGGCCCTGGTTGATCATGTGGGTGGCAGCCATTCGCTGTGTCCCTTTCATGTCGATGTTTCTCTCTCTCTCTTCCTCTCTCTCCCTCCTACTCTATCTGAACAAATAATGAAAAAATGTCCTTGGGTGAGGATAAAAAAAAAAAAGAAGAAGAAGAAATCTGAAACATCGGTACTTCCACTCAAGATGGCAACGTAGGTAAGTGGGGAATCACGTCCTCCCACAACCACATTAAAGTTACAACTAAACTACAGAACAACCAATATTCAAAACAACCTGACACCGAGCTGAATGGAAGTCCTACAACTACGGAATTAAAGCAGCAGCCGCATGGAGACTGGTAGGAGGGGTGGAGGGGACGGGCTGGTCCCACACCCATGTGTGGCGGATAAAAATCAAGAGGACACCTTGGCTGGGAAGATCCTCCCTGAGGACCGAGGGGTCCCTATCCCACACCAGGCATCCCGCTCGGGGTTCCAGTGCCAGGACGAGAATCCCCATCACTTCTGGCTGGAAAAACCAGCGGGAACTGAGGCTCAGGGAGGCTGAGGCGGCTGGAGCCCCAGGCAGCTCCTTAAAGGGCCCGTGCACAGGACTTATCAGACTCTCTCCCTCTAAACTTGGAGGGGAGGAAGCTCGAGGGGCACCAGAGACATACAGGGAAGAACTGAGCTGTTTGGCACTGGAGTGAGGGCTGGAAAGGGGGCTTTCTCCTGGACAGATGTGCTGTCAGAGGCCTTGGTTCCTTTGGTGAGCCCTTCCCTGGGGCGACAGATAGCCGCCATATCTGGGACTCCAGCAACCCGGCTCACACTGGTAGCCCCGCCCTCGTGACTCCCTGAGGCCCCACCCCACCCAACTTTCAGGCCCACCCAAGCTGTTGCCAGTTGCTTAACCATAGGTCTGTCTTGGATCCTGCTCAGGTTTTCCTAAATTTTTTCAAACAAGCAGCATCTGGGCTCAGCTAGCCCCATACCTCTTGTTAAGTAATACATAGAAACAAACACAGGGAGGCAGCCAAAATGAGGAGACAAAGAAACAGGTCCCAAATGGAAAAACAGAACAAAACCCCAGGAAAAGAACTAAGCGAAATGGAGATAAGCAACCTAACAGATGCTGAGTTCAAAATACTGCTTCTAAGGATGCTCAATGAACTTAGTGAGAACCTCAGCGAATTTAGTGAGGGCCTCAAGAGCATAAAAAAGGACCAGTCATAAATGAAGGATGCACAGTCAGAGATGAAGGAGGCATTAACTGAAATAAAGAATAATTTACACAGATTCAATAGTAGAGTAGGTAAAGCCAAGAAGAAAACCATTGATTTGGAATATAAGGAAGCAAAAAACACCCAATCAGAACAGCAAAAAGAAAAAATAATCCAAAAAAAAATGAGGATAGTGTAAGGAGCCTCTGGGACAACTTCAAGCGTGCCAACATTCGCATCTTGGGCGTGCCAGGAGGAAAAGAGAGAGAACAAGAAATCAAAAACCTATTTGAAACAATAATGGCAGAAAACTTCCCTAACTTGGTGAAGGAAACAGACATACAAGTCCAGGAAGCACAGATCTCAAACAAGATGAACCTCAAGAGGCCCACACCAAGACACATCATCAAAATGCTCCCTGCAGGGACGGTGCCCTAGAACAACTATTAAACAAGGAGAGAATCTTAAAAGCAGCAAGAGAAAAGCAGTTAGTTACCTACAAGGGAGTTCCCATAAGACTGTCAGCTGATTTCGCAAAAGAATCTTTGCAGGTCAGAAGGGAGTGGCAAGAAATATTCAGAGTGATGAAAAGCAAGAACCTACAACCAAGATTACTCTATCCTGGGAAGCTGTCATCTAGAATCGATGAACAGACAGAGTTTCCCAGACAAGGAAAAGCTAAAGGAGTTCATCACCATCAAACCATTATTATGTGAAACACTGAAGGGTCTTTTTTAAGAAAAAGATAATAAATAGGAACAAACAAAATGGCAATGAATACATATCTATCGACAATTGAATCTACAAACAAAATGAACAGGCAGAACAGAAACATTCTCATAGATACAGAGAACATTTTGTTGGTTGCCAGATGGGATGGAGGTTGGGGGAATGGGTGAAAAAGGTGAAGAGATTAAGAAGCACAAATTGGTTGCTAGACTGGCAAATCTCAAAGGGAAGGGGTGTGGGAAGAAATAAACTAAAGAACTTATATGCATATATGCATAACCAATGGACACAGACAACAGTGTGGGAAAAGGCAGGAGTGGGGCAGGAGTGGGCAGGCGGGGGTCAGTGGGGGAAAAATGAGGAACATCTGTAATACATTCAACAATAAAGATAAAAAAGAAGAAGAAATCTAAATGACTAAGAAATGTATGAAAGGTTACTCAACTTTATTAGAGAAATGCAAATTAAAACTGGAAGGAAATATTACCCACCAGATTGACGAGAATTTAAAATCTGGACAGTGCCTTACCCAGTGTGGCTCACTGAATTGAGTGTCGTCCCATCGACTGAGCGGTGTGGGTTTGATTCCCGGTAGGGCACATGCCTGGGTTTCGGGCTTGATCCCCAGTGGGGGATGTGCAGGAGGCAGCTGATCGCTGTATCTCTCTCTCTCTCTCTCTCTCTCCCCCCCTTCCACTCTTTCTAAAATATCAATAAAAATGTATTCAAAAAATTTTAAAAATACATTTAAGAAATAAAATTTGGACAACGCCAAGAGTTGAAGTGGACAAAGAACCACAAGAACTCTCATACCCTGCTGCTAGGAGTGCAAACAGTTGGACATTGAAGACACACACACCCAGTGATCCAGCAGTTCCACCAACGCATAGGTGCACCAGAATATATGAGCATGAATGGTCATGGCCCAAACCAGGAAACAAGTCAAAATGACCACTGATTGTAGAACGGGTAGGTAAATTGTGGTATAGTCATACAAAAGGGCACCTATATAGCAATGACAATGTTCCACAGCCACAAGCAACATGAATGAAGCTCACAAACATAATATTGAAGAAAAGAAGAAAGACAAAAAATACATGTCTTTATCCATATAAAGTTCAAATGTTGGCAAAACTGAACAGTATTAGGAATGTACTCATGGGTGGTAAAACTATGAAGAAATATGAGGAGTTGATTGTCACAAAGTTAGACTAGTGATTACCTTTGGGGAGAGAGTGAGGTTATGATGAGGAAAGATACGTAATAAGAGGGCTCCTGGGGGGCGATAGCAGTTTTCATTTCTTAACCTGGATGCCAACTGCACACATTTACTTAATATTATTCGTTAAAGTACATATACGCTTTATATGCTTTTCTGTGCGTGTGTTTTATATTTTTCCATAGGAGAAATAAAAGGAACCTACTCTATCCCAGGGCAGAGAAGAGGTTCCAGCCAACCAGAGCTCAAGGGGGCTATTTACCCGAGTTCCTAAGGCTCGTCGATAGGACAGTCCTGCTGGGTAGTAGAAGTTGATCACAGTTCCATAGGAATCCTCGCCCTCATTCCACACAGTCACCGTCACATTGAGCTCCAGAGAGCTTCCCACCACCAGGGTCTGCAGGCTGGAGGAGGAGGGACGGCACTGGGAGAGCAACTCCGTTGGGAAGAGATTGGAATTGGGTCGGGGGCGGGGGCAGGGGCGTGGGGACTCATGAGCTATGGGCTGATGACATTCCAATCGTTTCTCTGTTAGAACGACAGTGTTAGAACTTCTCATCCTGAGCATGGGAGACCCAAACATGTGAGTGTCTGGATATGGAAGGAGATAGAGCTTACCCTGAGAAGTTGAAGTTGACATTCAAGTCCCCTTCACAGAGGTGATCTTGCCCACAGTTCTTCTTAAAGGGGAGCTGCAGCAGAACAGTGTGTTCCCTTCCCATCCACATCTTAGTCCTCCAATTCCCTCATTAGGAGCACTCATCAGCAATGAGCACTGCTGGGCCCATACCCTGCACCAAGCACTGTGCTAGACGCTGGCAGGAGGAGTGGCGGTGGGAGCGAGGCAGTCACAATAGGAATGAGAGCTAAGACAAGGTCCTCGGCTTCAAGGAACATGGTTTTGTTGAGAAATCAAATCTAACTCACACTAGAACAACTTGTTTTTAAAGAAACGAGCCGTAGAAAAAATGGGCTCAGGAAACAAGTTACAGAGGAAAAGAAGGGACCCTTGGAGTTTAGGAGAGCCCAGGGGGCAGAGGGAGGGGGCCGGAAAAGCATGGGCGTGCTCCCTGCAGGGACGGTGCCCTAGAGCAACTATTAAACAGACATTGTTAAGTGTCCACACGGGACAGGTTCTGGGCTGGGCGGGGTTGGAGAGGTAGGAAAGGTAGAATTAGACCTAATTCACTACAGGTGAATTAGACCTGGTTCTCGCAGAAAGGGAAATTCCAGAAGAGCCACAGAGGCAGACTGCTGTGATTCCAGCTCCGTGACACGTGGCATGTCACCATGAGGTGCTAGGAGGTCAGAGAAGACGAGACTGATGCTGAGAGTGAAGGAAGATAAGACTGGGGCTTTGGGGAAGAACATCTTTGAGGTGGAAAGAAGACCATGTTGGCCCGGGCTGGTTTGGCTCAGTGCGGACCAGAGAGTCCCGGGTTCAGTTCCTGCTAGGGGCACGTACCAAAAAAAAATTTTTTTAAAAAGAAGAACAAATTGTCCAAATAAGAGAGACAACATGGACAAAAGCACAGGGGTAGGAATGAGAAAAGTTAGGAAAGGTCTACAGAATGAAACCAGAGTTTATGTTGAGATGAAGTGGATAGCCAGCTGGGATATGTGTAGGGTTCAAGCTAGGCAGCGTCTCAGCAATTGGGAGGTGGCTTTTTGGATTTGATGTGGTTGGTTGGCAGTTGGGAGCTACTGTAGTTGCTCAGGCACGTGGGACAGTAAAAGTCAACACGTCCCTGGGACCTCACTGGAAGACTCACAGAAGCAGTGAAGAGGTCCTGAGAGCCCACAGCCAGCACAGGGCGAAGGTTCCGGGATGAGGGGATGGGCTCCCCCACCAGGGAGAAGTTGAGGCGCAGGATGATGGGGCTCACCACATCCTCCACACAGTCCTGGGGAGAATGGGCTTTTAAGAACCCATTTTTTCTGTCCTCATTTTCCACCCTGGGGCTTCTCCTCTACTGGATTCATTTCCCACTGTCTCCCAGCGCCCTAACCAAGCTGTGGAACCAGGTTCTCTGGCCTCGACTTCCCTCCCTCCAGCCCCAGTCTCCCCCCATTTTCTCCTCACTCAACAGGGAGCAGGGGTGCCAGAGGCTCATTTCGGGCTCCTCCCTCTACCTCCCCCTTTCCCAGAATCCCAAGTCCTCACTGGTAAAAAAAACTTTATGGTTTCACAGTGATCTCCCAGCCCCAGAATTTTTCTTCTAGTCAAAGTCCAGTTCTTGGTCTCTTCAAAAATGGCACGAGAAATCAGACGGCCTGGGTCCAATGCCAGGTCGTACCTGACAGAGCTTCGGACATCACCTGAAATGGAGGAGGATGGAATGCAGAACGTGAAAGCAAACCTTGAACGTCCTGTTTTCATTTACTCATGCAACAAGCATTTGCTGAGCAATTTCTATGTTCCATAAACTGTACTGGGTGCTGGGGATACGTGTGCAGAAGAAGACAGGGAGATATGGTCCCTGCGCTCACGAAGGAGACAGGCACACAGGACACGTCACAGCGTGATCAGCACAAGGGGTGAGAGACGCCTTCCTGAAGGGGCCTTGTCTGAGCTCCAATGTGAGGATGAGCACGTGTGGGGTGACGACTGCGGAGGTGAGCATCCCGGACTGTGGGAACAGTGGCTAAGAGCAGGAGGGACTGGGAGGCTGGCACATTTACAAAGTATTTGGACCAAGGGGAAATGGGACGGAGAGAGGCTGGAGAGGCAGAGAGGGGCCAAATCACCGAAGGCATTGTAGAGAAGGGTTTGGGCCTTTATAAATGCGAGGACCAAGCTGAGAGGTGTCACGCAGGGAAGTGAGGAGGCCAGATTTGCATGTGAGGGCTAATCGCTCTAGTTCCTCTTCGGAGAACAGCTCCGAGTACAGGTAGAAAAAGAAGGGCGGCCTCAGGGGAGGTGGTGGCTGGGCAGGTGGAGAGTTCACAGACTCCTGACTGATCCTAGAGACAGACCTATGGGCCTGGGTGGGGGACGGGGAGAGAAGGGACCCGGGTTTCCCACACCGGCAGAAATGGACATGCAAGTGGGATCTGGAGTTCTGGACCCATGCTGTCCTGAGATAGGGCTGGGGCCTTTGGGGGTGAGGGACGGAGTCCACCGGAGCAAACTCACCTAGCTGATCAAGTGAGCTTTTGTGGATAGTGAGACAGACTGTAGCCTTCCCAGCTTCCAGGGGGGTGGGCCCCTCTTCCAGGCACTGGGACATAGCCATCCCTACCTCAGAGGGGCTGAACCTGATGGCCACCCTCACGGTCAGCACTGGCAGGCTCCTGGGGGAGGCACAGGGGCTGAGGAGAGGGCTCTGGCCTCTGCGAGGACAAGGGAGGGGCAGCTGAGTGAATGGGACACACAGCAAGCAGGGTGGGATGTGGGGACTTGTCACCTGAACAGCAGCACGTGACCCTGGGACCCCACAGCCAGGTCTGCCAGTCCATCCTGGGTGAGGTCCTGACCGCCGCTCAGCGACTGCCCGAAATACTGGAGCCCAGGAGGGAACTGGGAGCCGGAAATCCGCTGGCCAGGGGGCAAATAAGGGGAAGTCAAGGGGAGGTGATGGAGAGGGTTAGTAGGAAAGACTTGGGAAGGAGGCTGCAATGAAAGTGGATCTGAATGGAGAAACCGAACAGGAGAGGAGAGGGGGTAGAATGGAAGGCAAGCAGAGGGGGCATCTGAGGGACCCGGACAGAGAGAGAGGGGTCTTTTGGGCCAGCTCATCATGAGGGTGCATGTTGGTGACAAAATAAAAGCATAACAATAGGAATATAATAGATCCATTTATTCATCGTTTGTATGTTTATTCATAAATATTTGATGACCGACCCTCCCATGGCGTTATATTTACAAGAAGCCTATGGAGTTGCTTCATTAGTTAATGTTCCATAGAAGGAAGGAAGGCCAACTCAGTCATACGCCTAACGCCACACAGCTGACCTGGCTGGCCCAGTGTCCGACATGGGCCTGCAATTCTTGACCACTACGCTGCCCACACAGAGTGAAGTTTGTTTGGAACCAAAGGAGAGAAATAATCTGTGCTTAGCTGGGCCTGGCGAAATTCAGGGAAATAACCACCGACAGCAGAAGGGGAAGGGCTCCTGCTCAGGCTGGAGGCAGGAGGCAGCCTCAGGACAGGAGCCTCACCTGGCTGTGGGAGGGGCTGATGCCCCGCCCTGAGGTTCCATGAAACAGGTAGACAGCACCCTGGTTCTCCTGTTCTCCAGGGGCCCCGATGGCCACGTCCGTCAGCTTGTCCCCATTCACGTCCCCCAGCACGGTCAGGGCTGTCCCAAAGCGCCCCCAGGGGTGGCCTTGCTCCCCACGGAGAATGGCCTCACACTGCCACCTAGACCTCTGCTGAGCAAAACCCATGCCAGTCCCCAACCTGGGCAACCCTCCACCCCACACCCAGGCCCCACCAGCCCAGGTCTCAACAGCCACTCACCCCCCGGGGCAAGGGGCACACAGACACCCGGCCCCCCCGGGTCAGCTCGTAGTAATGGGGAGCCCCGATGAGGACCAGGTCGGAGCTGCCGTCTCTGTCCACGTCCACCGAGCAGAGGGAGGCCCCGAAGTAGGAGCCGATCTGGAGGGCAGAGCCTGAAGTCAGCCTGTCAGCCTGGCAGCGGGGCACCCCTCCGCCAGGCTCTGCCTTTCCCCACGCACCACCTCCCCCAGCGCGCCCCAAACCCCTCCATGTCCTCCCTCTCCACCCCTGCACACCCTGCCACCCTCCTGTTCTCCACACCCGACCTGGGTCCCTAGGACTTGAGCCTTCGGCCTCCATTGCCCAGACGCCTGCGTGAAGATGACAACCTTCCCGGTGTGCTCATGGCGGGGGGCCCCCAGGACCAGGCTCTGCACCCCCTTCCAAAGGGCCAGCTCGGTGGAGTAACCTGAGGGGCTAGGCCTCAGCACAAAGGCTCCCCCTCCTGTCCCCCGGCTCCTGCCCTCCCCGGAGCTCACCTCCCGCCTGTCCCCACAACCCAAGCCTTTTCTCACCCAGGTAGGAGTCCCTCATGTCCACATTCTCCTGAGACATGTTGATGAAGGTGGGGTTCATATTTGGGGGATATATGAAGGCACCCCCAGACCAGCTGAAGCTCCCCACGGCCCCCAAAACTGGTCCATCCTGGGAAGAAAGGATTCTGGGGATGAGCAGGGAGAGCGAGGAGACAGCAATTGCAAGGCAACCCCCGCCGCCGGCCCCACTCATTATTTGGAATTCTTTCCTAGCCTCACCTGCCTCCTAACGCCTCTCAGTCCGCCCCACTGCCCCGTCCTGGTCACTCCATCGCCTCTCACCCACTGCCCAGTTAGGTTTCCTGAAGCCAGTGTGCACCTGTCCCCAAGCCCCTTAGGACGGTGTCTAGGAACCATCCCAGTCAAACCTGTGTTCTCCTCTCCTCCAAAACACAGCAAGCCTTTGGCCTGGACACCTTTCTGTCCTCTCCTGCTGGGACTCAGCCCCTCTTTCTGGAAGAGTCCACCTCAAGTTCCTCCTCTGTGGGGCTTCCTCAAGTCCCTTGGGAAGCCATAGGCATTTCCTGCTCCATATAGACTGTTTACTTTTAAAAGTTTTAATCTTGGACCATTTAGAACATATACAAAAATAGAAAGAAATGTAGAATGAACCCATAAGTACCCATGACACAGCTGCAGTGATCAATTTATGACCAACCTGGTTCCATTTCTCCGCACCCTCACACGCACCCCAATTGTTTTGAAACAAGTCCCTCTGGGTATTTTGAACACACACCTACTTTTGGACAAGGCATGCTATGTTGTCAAGTCTTTGGGGTGCATGGTCTGGCCCTTCCCACCTCTACGATCATCTTCCCTGCTGCCCTTCGAACACTCGGCTCCAGCTGTGCGGGTCCTTCCATCTCTCTATTGCAGCGGCCTTGTTCCTGCCTCAGGACCTTTGTGCTTGCTTTTTCATTTACCTGAAGCAATCTCTCCCTAGATTTTCCCAGAGCTGGCCCTCTCTCATCATTTAGAATCAGTTATTCCTCAGGCCTCCTCTGATCACCTCTTTCTCTATCCCAACTCCTAGCACAATCTGGAAGTCTTATGTTCCTTGTTTGTGCCCTCCTCCCACTAGGCAGGGGCTCCATGAGAGAAAGAACCTTGGCTATCTTGTTCTCTCTGTTCCCCACACCCACACACACTCCCTGAATGTCTCCCCCTGAATAGATGGTGAGCTTGAGGACAGGGTCTGCTTTCTTGTTTACTTCTGGGTCCTGGCTGTCAGTCAAGGGCTGGCCCAGGGTAGTGCCTGAGACCTGCTTGTCAAGCGCATGCTCCACCCACCTCTGCGAGTACTGAACTGAAGCCTTCTTGTGACATCTCATGCTGGAAAGAGCTACTTGTCTTCGACTGGGTTCCTGTGGGCAAGCAGGTCACTTAGGCTCCCAGAGGCCATGAGGTCACAAGGACCCAGAGCAGAAGGAGCGTGTGGTCTGGGGCTTGGGTTCTAGGGAACAATTTGGGGTGAGCTATGAATTGGGATGGACCTTCAGGACCGCAGGGGACAATTGGGTGGGGACTTTTTCAGTTCCAAGACCTCAGCTCTTTCCCCATTTACCCTCAACTGCAAAGATATTCTCCTGCAGCTGCTTCTGGATGCTGCCGAGCGCTGCAAAGTTGTCCACCTTGAACACGTGGTCCTTGGAGGGCACCGAGCCGATGGTGTCCAGCTCCCGCCTGGCAGTGCGTTCCTGGAAAGCGTCTCCCACCTGCGGCAGAGACGCAGCTGAGGGGGAGGAGCCAGCAGCCTTCTGCCTGGGCGGGGTGCGGGTGGAGTCTGGGGCAGTCAGGAGGAAGAGGACGCACCCCAATGGCATAGCGAATGATGCCGGCTCTCTCAGCCTCGGGGATCACGTCTCTGTACTCCAGGGGGTCTCTGTATTTCTGTCCGTCTGTGATAACAATGAGGATCTTCTTGGCACTTTTGCGGGCCCCATTCTTACTATGAAATAGTTCTTTCCTGGGAGGGAAGAAAGGGAGATGATTGTACTGAGGTGGGATTGGTTCTGGGAAGGAACTGTTTGCAGCACTAGAAACTCATCTGGAGAGACTGGGGGGTCTTGGTACCCTCAGACGGTCAGGCATGTTAAGAAATGGATTCAGCCCGTTTTGAACATCATACTGACAATAAGTAGTAAGACCAATAGTAACGATACTCCTCATTCCGAGGATCCCATCGGCTGGAGCACCCCCCCCCCCAGGGGGCAGCGTGGTTCTGAGCAGGAGCTCTGGACTCAGACATGCTCTGGCAGGTCACTTGATCTCTCTAAGCCCCTGCTTCTCTCCATCGAGACGACAGTAACAATTGTGCCATAGCTGGTCTCCCAGGAAGGCTCCCAGTGAGCCACGGCGATTCCCTTCCGGCACTGAACCTGACTGTGACCTGCTCTACTCGGTTGCATGTGGGAGAAGAGACACCATGCCCGTTATGGGCCCCAGAAGCTAGGTAGCTTTTGTACTTTGGGGAGCCCTCGAACCACCACGAGAGAAGTCTAGCTACCCTATTGGAGACACCCCACGGCGTGGCCACAAGCAGAGAGAGGCCCAGCCATGCAGCCAGCCTGCCAGGGCAGCAGGCAGGTGGCGAAGCTGTGTTCCAGCCTCAGACACCGCCTGACCACAGCCACACGAGACCAAGAGACCCTATGTGAGATGGCAGGGCCCCAGGATCATGAAAATAATAATGAAAGAGCTGTTGTATAAGCCATTAAAATCGGGAGTTGTTTGTTAGGCAACAAGAGATAGCTGAGGCAATAGCATCGGATGATTCTGAGGATCAAATAAGGTTGAGCTCGCACAACGGCGAATGGCAGGCCGGTAAGCATCGGTCCTGTGGGAGCTGCCACAGACCACTGAAAATGTGACTGAGTGCTCAGGTAGCTCTACAGACTCGGACCTACACACAGGCCAGACGTGACACTGGGACAACCAAAATGTCCAACATTAGGGACAGTGTTAAGCAAATCGTGACCCAGGCCCTTGATGGAACAGTACAGGGCCATTTCAAAGGAAAACAATAAAAGCTGTAGAGACCCGTGGAAAAGATTTGTATACCAGATGAAAACAAGACGGGATAAAAATAGCTTCTACCCAGCCACTCAGGACAGTGGCCACATTGCTGCTTCCCAGGGCTCTGAGGAGAGGCAGCAGCCCCTCCCTCGGAGATCCAACCCCACCCTGTGGGGCATTGAAGTGCTAATTGAGGCTCACTAACAACCAACATCTGCCCCACCCTCGGAAAAGCCCCTTGGCTGAGCACCAGAGGGAGTTTTTCAATCAACTGACAACCCAAAACTCATCAATTAACCTAGACTGCTAGCCTCCAGGCAAAAAGCTAGAGGATAACAGTACCTTTCCTGGGCTGGCAACTTTAACCAGGAAAGTAAGACTTGACAGTGGTGTTCAATGTGGGTCTCCCCTCGCTCATCTAAACACAGGAGAGGGAGCCACAAACAGCAGAACACCAACACCCACAGGGAGAACTTGACAGGCTCCAAAGCCCACAGTGATAGCCAAAATGGTGAAACACAGAAACAGAAGCCAAATGAAAGAGCAAGAGACCTCCACCGAAGATGAGATCAATGTGGAGCAATTAGGCATGTTAACAGAGCTAAAATTCAGAGCCATGATCTTGAGGAAGCTGAACAGCATGAGTAAGGACATAGAGACACTGAAAATAAGCCAATTGGAAATTAAAAACCAACAAGAAGAGATAAAAAATGACATATCAGAAATGAAAAACACATTGGAAGGTTTAAAAAGCAGAGTAGGGGAAGCTGAGGACCGGATCAGTGAATCAGAAGACAGGGTAGAAAAAATCAACCAATCAGAAAAACAAAAGGAAAAACCTATTAAAAAACAGAGAGACAGCTTAAGAGAACTATGGGACAACTGGAAACGTAATAATATTCGCATCATAGGAGTCCCCGAAGAAGAAGAAAATGAGCAAGGGATAGAGAATATATTCAAAAAAATAGTGAGAGAAAACTTCCCTAATTTGGTGAAGGAAGAAGGCATTCAAGTTCAAGAAGCACAGAGAGTTCCAAGTAAGAAGAACCCAAACAGGCCCACACCAAGACACATAGTAATTAAAATGACACAAATTAAAGACAAAGAGAGAATCCTAAAAGCAGCAAGAGATAAGCAACAGGTTACCTACAAAGGGAACCCCATAAGGCTCTCAGCTGACTTCTCACAAGAAACACTACAGGCCAGAAGGGAATGGCATGAAGTAATCAAAGTCATGAAAAACAAGAATATGAATCCAAGACTACTCTACCCAGCAAGGCTATCATTCAAAATAGAAGATCAAATAAAGAGCTTCCCAGACAAAAAAAAGGCTAAGGGAATACATTAGCACCAAACCAGCACTGCAAGAAATGTTAAAAGGACTGCTGTAATTAGCAGTAGACATGGGAAGAAAAATAGAACCACACTAAACAAAAATGGCAATAAATAAGTACATATCAATAATCACCTTAAACGTAAATGGATTGAATGCTCCCATAAAGAGACACAGAGTAGCTGATTGGATAAGAAAGCATGACTCATCTATATGTTGTTTACAAGAGACCCACTTCTCAACAAAAGACTCACATAGGTTGAAAGTGAAGGGATGGAAAAAAATTTTCCAAGCAAATGGAAAGCAAAAAAAAGCTGGGGTAGCAATTCTCATATCTGATAAAATAGATTTCAAAATGAAGACCATAACTAGAGACAAAGACGGCCACTACATAATATTGAAAGGATGTATCCAACAGGAAGATATAACCTTGATAAACATATATGCACCCAATATAGGAGCACCAAAATATATTAAAAATCTTCTGGAGGACTTCCAAGGAGAAATCGACAACAATACAATCATAGCAGGGGACTTCAATACCCCGTTGACAGCACTGGATAGATCCTCTAGGCAAAACATTAGCAAGGAAACAGAGACCCTAAATGAAGCACTAGACCAAATGGATTTAATAGATATCTACAGAGAATTACACCCCAAAACTACAGAATACACATTCTTCTCAAGTGCACATGGGACATTCTCAAAGATAGACCACATGATAGGACACAAACTAAATCTCTACAAGTTCAAGAAGATTGAAATCATATCAAGCATCTTCTCAGATCACAATGGCATGAAATTAGAAATCAATTGCAACAAGAACATGCAAAGACATTTCAACACATGGAGGCTAAATAGCATATTATTAAACAATGAATGGGTCACCGAGGAGATCAAGGAAGAAATTAAAAACTTCCTGGAAACCAATGAAAATGAACACACAACAACACAAAATCTATGGGATGCAGCGAAAGCAGTTCTGAGAGGGAAGATCATAGCACTACAGGCCTACCTCAAAAAACAAGAAAAATTTCTAATTGACTGTCTAACCTCACAATTTGATTAAAAAGCAAACAAAAAGAAAACCCCAGAGCAAGTAGAAGGAAGGAAATAGTAAAGATCAGAGCAGAAATAAATGACATAGAGACCAAAAAAACAATTCAAAGGATCAATGAAACTAAGAGCTGGTTTTTCGAAAAGATAAACAAGATTGATGGACCCTTAGCTAGACTCACCAAGAAACAAAGAGAGAGAACCCAAATACACAAAATCAGAAATGAAAGAGGAGAAGTAACAACCAACACCACGGAAATACAAAAGATCGTTAACAACTACTATGAACAACTATATGGCAACAAATTCGACAATCTAAGCGAAATGGACAAATTTCTAGAAACACACAGTCTCCCAAAACTATTCCCGGAAGAGATAGAAAACTTGAACAGACCAATAACAACTAAGGAAATTGAAGAGGTAATCAAGACTCTCCCAGCAAACAAAAGCCCAGGCCCAGATGGTTTCACGGGGGAGTTTTACCGAACATTCAAAAAAGAACTAACACCCATTCTCCACAAACTCTTTCAAAAAATTCAAGAAGAAGGAAGACTTCCAAACACGTTCTATGAAGCCAGCATAATTCTAATTCCAAAACCAGAAAAAGACACTACGAAGAAAGAAAACTACAGGCCAATATCCCTGATGAACATAGATGCCAAAATCCTGAACAAAATATTAGCAAATCGGATCCAGAAATATATCAAAAAAATTATTCACCATGACCAAGTGGGATTCATTCCAGGGATGCAAGGCTGGTACAATATTTGCAAATCAATAAACGTGATACACCACATAAACAAAATGAAGAATAAAAACCACATGATCATATCAATAAATGCTGAAAAAGCATTCGACAAAATCCAGCATCCATTTCTGATAAAAACGCTCAGCAATGTAGGAATAGAGGGATCATATCTCGACATAATAAAGGCCATATATGAAAGACCTACAGCCAACATCATACTCAATGGACAGACACTAAAAACATTTCCATTAAGAACAGGAACAAGACAGGGATGTCCACTATCGCCACTCTTATTTAACATTGTACTGGAAGTCTTAGCCACAGCAATCAGACATGAAGAAAAAATAAAAGGGATCCAAATTGGAAAGGAGGAAGTGAAACTGTCATTATTTGCAGATGACATGATATTATACATAGAAAACCCTAAAGACTCCATCAAAAATCTACTAGACTTAATAAATGAATTTGGCAAAGTAGCAGGATACAAAATTAACGTCAAGAAATCGACGGCATTCTTGTACATCAATGATGAACTCACAGAAAGAGAAACTGAAAAAACAATCCCATTTACCATTGCTCCAAAAAAATTATGATACCTAGGAATAAACTTAACCAAAGAAGTCAAGGACCTATTTGCATAAAACTACAGGTCATTGAAAAAAGAAATAGAGGAGGATATAAAAAAGTGGAAGCACATACCCTGTTCATGGATTGGAAGAATTAACATAATTAAAATGTCCATACTACCCAAGGCAATCTATAGATTCAATGCAATCCCCATCAAAATACCAACGACATATTTCATAGAACTAGAACAAATACTTCAAAAGTTCATATGGAACCAAAAAAGACCCCGAATAGCCACAGCAATCTTGAAAAAGAAGAACAAAGTAGGTGGGATCACAATACCAGATATCAGGTTATACTACAAAGCGACTGTAACCAAAACAGCCTGGTACTGGAACAAGAACAGGCATATAGACCAGTGGAACAGAACTGAAAACCCAGAAATGGACCCAAGGCAATACGCTCAATTAATATTTGACAAAGGTGGCAAGAGCATACAGTGGAGTAAAGACAGCCTCTTTAATAAATGATGTTGGGAAAATTGGACAGCTACATGCAAAAAAATGAAACTAGACCATCAACTTACACCATACACAAAAATAAACTCAAAATGGATAAAAGACTTAAATGTGACCCATGAATCCATAAAAATTCTAGAAGAAAATGTAGGCAACAAAATTTCAGACATCATACGCAGCAGAATTTTCACTGATACATCACCTAAGGCAACAGAAATAAAGGAGAAATGAACACATGGGACTACATCAAACTAAAAAGCTTCTGCACAGCAAAAGAAACAATCATCAAAATGGAAAGGCAACCCACTGTATGGGAGAACATCATTGCCAATGATGTATCAGATAAGGGGTTAATTTCCAATATATATAGAGTGCTCATACAACTCCACAAAAGGAAGACAAAGAACCCAATTAAAAAATGGGCAGAGGAGCTGAATAGACACCTCTCCAAACAGGACATACAAATGGCCAAGAGACATATGAAGAAATGCTCAACATCACTAATCATCAGAGAGATGCAAATTAAAACAACAATGAGGTATCACCTCACACCTGTCAGAATGGCCGCCATCAACAAATCATCAAACAACAAGTGTTGGCGAGGGTGTGGAGAAAAGGGGACTCTAGTACACTGCTGGTGGGAATGCAGACTGGTGCAGCCGCTATGGAAAACAATATGGTGCTACCTCAAAAAATTAAAAATTGAACTTCCATTTGACCCAGTGATCCCACTGCTGGGAATATGCCGTAAGAAGCCTGAAACACCAATCAGAAAGAATATATGTACCCCCATGTTCACAGCAGCACTATTTACAATAGCTAAGATCTGGAAACAGCCCAAGTGTCCACCAGTAGACGAATGGATAAAAAAGCTGTGGTACATATACACAAAGGAGTACTATGCAGCGGTAAGAAAGAAAGATCTCTTATCCTTTGAGACAACATGGAGGGACCTGGAAAGTATTATCCTAAGTGAAAGAAGCCAAGCAGAAAAAGACAGATACCACATGATCTCACTTATATACGGAATATAATGAACATAACAGTCTGAGGAATACAGTAGACCCAGACACATGGAAGTAGGGCACAGACTGACATCCCTCAGAAGAGGGGATGGGGGGTGGGGGGGTGGGAAGAGATAAACCACAGAACTTATATGCATGTATGCATGACCAATGGACATGGACAACTAAGCCGGGGACAGGGTGGGGGGGGGGGTGCCAATGGGGTAAAAAGGTAAAATATCTGTAACAAAAAAATAAATAAAAATTCATAAAAAAAATAAAAATAAAAATAAATAGCTTCTACCCTGATGGCGAGGCAACTACATGAAATGTGTCTGCATAAAGACAAGGGTGGAAACAATGCTGCTTCGCAGGTGGGATTCATTGATTCACTCGTACTTCTTCCCTCTTGTGGTTAAAACACTGTGAGGTGCACTGGCCGGGTGGCTCAGTTGTTTGGAGCATCGTCCTGTACACCAAAAAGGTCGTGGGTTCTATTCCCAGTCAGAGCACATACCCAAGTTGTGGTCGTGATTCCCAGTGAGGGCCCATACAGGAGACAACACATTGATGTTTCTCTCACATCGCTGTCTCTCTCTCTCTCTAAAAAAAAATCACTAAACATATCCTTGGGTGAGGATAAAAAATAAATAAATAAAATACAGTGAGGTATTTGGCTAGAGGTACTGTAGGTCCCCCAATATTTCCTTAATGTTATTGCCATTGCCATTTTGTCTTTTTTGCAATAAAACTTGTAAAAAAAAACAAACCACCCACTCCCCTGCCCCCCAAGTCCCAGTCAGTGGCAGGAGGAATGAGTCAGCCCTGAGACGGGCTTGGCTCTGGGGAGCGGGGAGGCCACTGTTCTGGGTGACGGGGAGCAGGTCGGCATTGACGAGAACCACGGCATCGGCCACCGCTGGAAGGAGCTGCAGAGTAGGAAGGGCCACCACCACGAGAGAAGCCTAACTCAAGGGACAGAGGCTTTTCTCGCAGCTGTCCAGTCCCAAAAGGCCAGTGTCCGAGGCAGAAGGGCCACCCAGGAGCAGAGAGGACGCATGTGGCAGAAGAAGCCTTGTTCCGCTGTCCTCCAGCACCAACCCCAGGGCAGCACCCAGGAGGGTGCAGGAAGGAAAGGGTCGCAGACACTCGGCCCAGCTGTTTCCCACAAGAACAACAGCTTCTGCTCGGCCTCACCACCTAAGCCGTTTTCTTCGGGCTCCCGGCACCCCTGCTGAGCAGGCGCGGAAGGAGCAGCCAGTTACATTGATGCGGCTGTTTGTTATCACTGTGAGCACATTTTCAGTCATGCTTGGGATTTGAACTGCATCACATATTCTGGTTTTCAATAAAAATCAAATAACATCAAAAGATAAAAAATAAAAAATAAGCACCCATTACTGAAGAGGGCACGCGTGGACAAGGAAGGAGGGGATGGGGGTGTGAGCAGGGAGAAGGACACAGAGAAGACACTTGGCAACGCTTCCGAGTCCCGCCAGGGAGGCAGAGAGGGTGCGGTTCTCTGAATCGCCCGGTCACTGTCCAGCGCGCTCCGTGCGGAAGCACCTCACACACTGTCTCATTTACTCCTACAAACAAGTGGTAAGTCTATCCTCATTTGACAATTTACTGACACAGAAAGAGCCAGTAACTCCTGGGGTTGCCCAGATAACAAGTGGGGAGCTGGCATGGGAACCCAGATGTGTCTGAACCAAAGCTAGCTGCCCCAGGTGGGCTCCAATTTAAGGCCATCAAAGAGGGGAAATGGGGCAGAGGAGTCCTGTCCTGTATCAGGGGGGATACAGTGAACAAGAAGGACAGAAGCACCCCAGAGAGGACTCTGCCTGCAGCCCCTTCCCCAGAGCCCCCTCCTCACCCACCTGGAGCAGAGGGAGCAGAGGGGCAGGGACCCCGCAGACAGCGGGGCGAGCTTACACCACTGTCAGGATACCCGTGGCTGTAAAAGTCTGTCCTCTCAGCTGGACGATGGGGTCCACCAGCCTCTGCGGGCTCTGGCTGGTCTGGAATTTGGAGAAGGTGAAGTGGGTCTCCAGGAGGTTCGAGTACTGCATCAGGGAGAACTGTGGAAGCCAAGGGGAGGCCCTGGTTGTCATTTTGTGTTTAGTAAGCTTTTTATTTTGGAATAATTGTGGAATTACAAACCATGGTCTATGTGTTTTTGAGGCCCAGTAAATACACATTGAAACCCAGAAGAAGAGAAAATGACCCAAAAAGAAACCCCGAAAGTCTAAATCAAAGGGTGCTTCTCCCATAGTTTCTGAAGAATAACCTTGCCAACCACAGTATTTGTTCAACTTAAATTTTAAAAAGTTATAGCACATGAAATCAATTTGTAGGCTATGTTTCCTCACTTCTCAAGAACTTGTACATAATACATGAATTACTGGGAAATTAAATAATGAGATGAAGTCATGAGTTACATGGAAAACATAGAGAGTCAACAATTATTTGCCAAGTTACCTTCAGTCAAATTTCATAGCAAAATTATTTTACTATTTTTTCAATGCTTTTAAACAGCAAACATATCATATATTTCTGAGGCATGTGGGAACCTATTAAATGCAATGGGGTACCTCCGAGGGTCAGGGCCCTGCGCTGGGACCGTACCTTGACCCTGGACCCTTGCCTCATTATGGCACAGGTCCACTGAACCCACAACCCCAGCGATGCCATGCCCCCCTCCTAGGCTGTCTTCCTAGGCAGACCCTTCCCCATCCCAGTCCCCAGGCCCAGGGGACCCAATCTTCACCAGGGTGTTGGTGCCCTCAAAGTGGCCCATCACAGCTCTGACAAAGTCCTTCATCTGCTGGAAGTCACTTTGATCAATGCTGCCAGAGCCATCGATCAGGAAGACTATGTCCATCTCTTGATTTGGACACTCTGCAGAGAGGGAGGGAAGAGTCGGAGATACGTGAGTGGGTCCCACCGTCTCCTGGGACCCAGAAAACCTTCCCACTCCACAGAGCCAGGGGCTTGTTCTTGGCACAGGAATCAATTCCTGCCTGGTCCCCCCACCATCACCACCACCACACACACTCAGAGGAGACCCAAACCTGTTGCTTCCCTCTTCCCACAAGGCCTGAAAAGGGGGAGGAAGTAGAGGACACTCCAAGGATGCCATAGAGGATAACAAAGTGGTTCAGAGTGTGCATTCTAGAGCCATCTGCCTGGGCTCAAGCCAGCTCCATCACTGGCTAGTGGTGAATTCAGGCAAGTTATGTAATTTCACCGGGCTTCAGTTTTCCCCGTCTGTAAAATGGGGATAATAATAGTGCCTACTACATGGGATTATTGCAAGGACGAAAAGAATTAATGTGTACACAAAGTGTTTAAGACAGGATGTCCCCCCAATACAGGGTAGCTGTTACCACCATCAGCACCATATGCCAGGCATTGTTCTAGACTCAGAGAAGGACACCCTTGTGGATGCTGGGGCGCCACCAGGACCTGATCCCTATCAGGACGGAAGCGTTCATTCCAGCTCCAGGGAACTGGCTGTTCATGGCTCCCAGTTGAGTCCTCCCAGGAATTATCCCAGTCAAAAAGGGAGCTGCTTGGCCCAGTTACAGCTCCTGCTCCTGGGCACTTGTATCCAGCCATGCTCCAAGCTCCACGCTCCAAGCTCCATGCTCCATGCTCCACGCTCCAAGCTCCAGGCTGAGCCTGTGTTCCGACGGCTTTGCAGCCCACCCTCTCCCTCTACTGTGTCCTGCTTTCCTCACACTCCCACAGGTATCGCTCCCCAGAACATTCTCAAATAAGCCTCCGAGTCTGTTCCAGGGAAACGTGGTATAAGACCAGAGCTTTGAAAAGACCCCTCCCTGCCCTGTGGAGTCCACACTGCAATGGAAAGCCATGAGCACGTAACTAATGAGACATTTCAGATTGTCCCCACACTCGTGTGTGGGGTTGTGGCCTCTCCGCAAGACCCAGTTGTCACCTACGCCAGTGCCCCACATCCTGTGCTGCTTCCAGGGTGCAGGGGGACCGGGCGACACAGCACCGAGGAGAGATTCCGCCAACTCAACCAGCAGGTGCTCGGGAGAAACGCAAGATCACTGCCCTCCTGCGCCCTAAGGACTAGGAAATCCAGCCCCCCCTTGGCAGGCTCAGACCCCTCAGGTGCCCTACTTCTATCTCTCAGCGACCTACCTGGCTGGGCAGCGGGGACTCTCCGAATGATCTGCAGCTGGGAGCCCAACAGGAGGCAGGAACCTTCTACATACATGTTCTCCCCACAGATTCTGTGCATGGTGGGGCCGCAGGCCTGGGTGCAGAGGCCTGCGTAGGCAAGGGGACCCCCAGAACATGCCCCTCTTCTCCCCGGCCCCAGTCTCCTCTGGCCCCTGCCCCTCTTGACCCTCCTGTGACATAGGGACACTCACCAACAGCCAGGAGCGGTTGATGGAGACCGCTAGGGACAGGCCCAGGGACATGTTCACGGCCTCTGGGGGGACTGAGAGGGCGGACACATGTGGTCACACTCACAGGCACACGCTCATGTTGGGGGAGAATCTGGGCTGGAGGCTGAGGGGGAGCCTGGGTGTAGGAGAGCTGAGGGCCGGGTTCCGGGCCGAATCACTCACTGCGCAGTGCGATGGGCTGGCACAGGCCAGTGGCCGCCTCGCAGCTGTACAGCCGTCCTGTGTGGTTGGCCACCGCCACCTCCAGGGGGGCTCCCACCACGACTCTGCGGGCACAACCGTGACATCCAGTCTCAGGAGGGTGGGGACACAGGCGTGTGAGTGAGAAGTGAAACTTTGCTCTTGACATTTGGCACTTGGGAGGCTATTCAAAGACCAGGGCCTGAATTTAACCCACAAATGTGAAGGACCATGTGGGGCTGTGTGTGTGTGTGTGTGTGTGTGTGTGTGTGTGTGTATGACTAGATGTGTATTTATGTACACAAATGGTTTGGGTTGGGTTTTTTTTAACATTCACCAAAAATAAAACTATTCAAAACAAAAACAGCATTTCCCCACTGTGGGTAAGAACATTTTGTTTATGGGGTACCATCATTTTTAACCACCCAAGAAATAGATCACCTCAAGGTAAATGGGAAAATCTTCTGAAGTTGTAAGCTTTCAAAACAAACAGATGATTCTATAATGAATTAGACAAAATATAATAAAAACAATTTAAATTGGAAAGTTTAAAACAGCTCTATCAGAATCCATTTCTATACCATAAAATTTTTGTTGCTACTTCGTAACTGTAATTTTGCTACTGTTATGTCTTAGGCGACCCCTGTGAAAGGGTCGTTCGGGCCCCAAAGGGGTCGCGACCCACAGGTTGAGAATGCTGCTTTAAGGAACGCTGAAGCCCCGGTGTGTCTAAGAAAACCTTAACAGACGGCTAGACGTGTAGCAGTTTGGGACCTGCTGGTATAAATGTATGAACAAACTTTTAGTCTTAAACTATTGTTCTGCGTGGTTTTCTTTATCCCAACTCATTCCTTCCATGCAGTCTCAATCTTTTTAGTGTTTGGGCTACAATTCAGCAGAAACCAGGAAAAACAATGACCTTGAAACAATCAGAATATCATCCAATATGTACTATTTACTTTGTTGGAAATACTGGTGAACAGTGGCCAATCAGTAGTTTCATATTTTTTAGACAGAGGGCCTGAGCACAAGATAATGGTAATGGAAGTGGGGCAGGGGCTGCCTCCGGATTTGTTGGGTGTTGAGATCGGGGCCCAGGGGCCCAGGGGGCTCGGGGGTGGGGGGAGCCGGAGAAGTTCTCCATGTTGACCTGGAGTGTGGTGGTTCCCGGGTACACACACATGCAAAGGTCCTTGAGCTGGACCTTTTGGATTCCTGTTTTCAGGCTGTGCTGTATTTCAAAGCAAGCAAAGAAAAAACAAAACTTTGGTGCCTGGCACTCACTTTTATGTCCCCAGCCTGCCAACTGGGTGAGGAAGGGGGGAAGGGCATTTAGAACTCAGTGACTTCTGTACGTTCTTGGCCAACTGAATGTCCCCATGCTCTCGGCTCCTTGCCGACGCCACCAGGAGCCTCCCTAAAATCCCCCTGGATCTGATCTCTCCCTTCATCTTTTCACTATACAGAGACCCTGAGGTCCAGATGGGAGAACACACTTAGATATAATAACCAAATGCCCCAGACTCCGGTATGCTTGCATTAACATCATGACTTCAACTCCTTGGGTCTCCGTCCAGGTACAAAATTTGCTGGTCCTAATGCAAAATTTAAATCTGAGGCCTCTTGTTCTTGAAAAAAAAAGTGTTTTCCCTTTTTTGTGTGGTCTCTCCTCTCTGCCTGTCCAGTATTTTCTGTTTGCTATGTAGTTTCACACTCTCTCAGGCACAGGGATACTCACGGGGCTGGCGCAGATCCTCAAAGGACTGGGCAGTCTGGGCACAGCCCATCATGACCTTGCCCAGTGCGTGCCAGGGGCCCAGGTCAGCAGCAGTCATAGGCAGGGCTGGGGAAGCAGAGCTGAGACCCCTTCCCCAGGGGCTGTGAGAGGCTGGGCCACTTGTGAGCCAAGGCTCCAAAGCCCCATTGTTTCTCCACTGGCCCATCGATCTTTACTTACAAAACACAAATGCAAACAGGAAATTACTAATGATTTCAGGAGGAGACTGCAGTACAGTACTCCAAGTGCGGGGGCCCAAGTGCAGAGGCAGCTGCACTGGTCACATGCCATAAGGCCAGCCCTGAGGGCAGACTCAAGGCCTCTCTCCCAAGGCCATGTCTTGCCCAGAGTTTGTGGCCCTTTGTGGGATATCGAATAGTTAGTAGTGATGTTGGGGCCTCGAAAGAGTCATGGACAGGCTTCTCGCCTGTGCTGCTTTTCCTCCAGGACACCTGGGCATGCAGCATGCAGCCACCTGCCTGGAGGAGGAGGGGAGGAGGCGGGGAGAGTGGGCGGGGCCTACCGAGATCTGCCGAACTGGGCCACGTTCTGCCCAAAGCCAGCTCCGTCCCCTTGGAAGACCATGGGCTCTGCCACATCCAAGTTGAATCCATGACAAGAAGCCAGAGCTGAGGAATATGGGGAGGTGGGTGGGAAGGACAGTCAGAGAAGCCTCACTCCTCCGGACCCCTAACTTCTTGGAGTCTTGATGCCCACACTCCTCCAGCCTTGGTTTCCCCTCTTCTTTGTTTCCTGATTTGCCAGCTGGGTGGTTCCTGTCTCTGTCCCTCCCTCAAAAACAATCAAAGCACAATGCAAAATACAACCTAGAGAAGTGTCCCTTCAAGGGCACTTCAAAGGACACCCATAATCTGAAATTAGACCTGTCACCTCCTGGTTGTTGGATCAGGACTGTCTTTTAAAGGTAAAGTGACCGCACAGTTTACTGTCCAAATGGGGACCTTCTGAGAGTGACAGGGACGCCACTAATAGTTACACCAGGGGCACTGGGACTGCCCCAGGCAAACCAGGGCATATGGCCCCCATTTAAAGACTGTCCTACTTCATCTCCTCATAAACAGAGACCTTAAGGCCAGATTGGAGAGCACACTCGGAGTTCTGTGGTTGACTCTGAAATGTATGTTTCCCTCGCCCTCTCCCTCGGTGCCAGGCTCTAGGAGGGCAAGGACCCGCCTCGTCTCAGTGCCTGGCCTTAGCAGGCGACCGATGACTCTTTGCCGATGACCAGAACTGCACAGTTGCTGACCCAGCTGGGAGTCCAGCCCTCTCCCCTGACCCTTCACTGACCAGTCTCTTCCCTGGCGGCTAAGCTTGGAACCCTGGGAGAAAACCCCACCATTTCGAGGGCTTTTTCTTACTCTCTCACACCCAAGCAACCACCTTTTCTCCCCATTCCTCCTAGAATTCCAAGTTCTCTCTGTACTGAGGACGCGGCTTCAACCCCAGGCCGAGGGAAGCTCTGTGGAAGCCAAGCACCAGGCAGGACAGTGACAGGAGGGTCCGCACACCTCAACCCGGGGTTCCGGGAAGAGGCCAGATGCTCCGGTTTCGGAGACCCTACTATGGCCACATGCAAGGGAGCCTCACGTTCCACGTCTTCCTGTCAAAGCATGATTCTGCTTCTGAGCCTGAAGGCAGCCCCTCTGATCTGATAACAGCAAGCTATCAAGGGTCTCAGTGTCAAGTGTCCCACGGCCAAGCAGGTGACATCAGGGAGTCTAGTGGGAGAACGATGGGCCCTTAGACACTGTGGACCTTCTACAGGGGCAGCGCCACCAGGCTCTCGTCTCCGGAGCTGCCAGACCTTTTCCCTTTCTCGGGAGAAGCTGCACATCTGGATTTTTGTGTGAAATCCGACCTTTAAGTGACACACAACTTAATTTTAAATGACACACGAATGTGGCCCTGACAGGTGTCAGCCCCCAAAGCCTCCTCTGGCAGCAGTGGGACAGCCAACCTGAAACCAGGACTTGGGGGAATCCCAGGACCCAGGAGGTGGTACCCACCCTTCCCTGCTTCTGTAGCCTCCTGTCCGGCTTGCTGGAGCTGACTCTCTCCCCCACACAGTGCCCACAGCAGGGCCCCTCAGGAGGGCATGTGCGGAGGCAGCTCAGCTCTGCCCGGGCACATCCACCAGCCCACCTCCCACCCCCTTTGTTCAGGCCATGCCCCTCCCCCAGCCGTCGCTCCTGCCAGGGGCCTGGACCTGGCCTCCTCCCCTGCCTTCAGCCCCTTTTGAGAGCTGTGTGAGCTGCCGCCAGCCCCCGCGGCCTTCCCAGAGAGACCCCACCAGGTCTCCCAGCCTCCCAGCCGGAGGCACTCACCGCCCAGGAAGAGCGCTGCTCCGAAGGCCATCACTGAGCAGCACCGGAGAAGGGCCGAGGGCCGAGCCACGGGGCACAGAGGGCTGCTCAGTGACAATAGTTGCTCAGGCCCTCGCACTGAGAAGAGAAAGGCACATTGAGGAAGTCCTCCGTTAACCATACAGCAGAAGTGGGCAAAAAGCCAAAGACTCTCTTGGAGAAAATCACCCATACTCTCCCACAACCACCCTCTAGGGCCTGGCTGTCCCAGAAGACCACCCTCCCCCGGCCCTTCAGACCCAGTGGTACCCAGGGGTGGCTCTCGGTACGATCCTGGTAGCCTCAGAAACCAGGTGACATGAGCAGAAGTGGTAGAACAGGTGGCTGCAGAGGCCACTGCATGGATATGAGCCTGGAGAGGGGCAACCGTCCCTCAGGTAGCAGGGGTGGGGGAGGGAGGAGGTACATGGGTGAGGGTGCTGTTTTTAAAAGCAGACCCCATTAAGAAAGAGAAGAACAGATAACTAAACTGGTGAAGTTATACAATGGACTTACTAGGGAACAGTAAATAACAGATACATGGAACAACATGGATGAACCTCAACAATATCATAAATGAAAGAAGACAGTTACCAGAATGCAGAATGTATGAGTCCTTTTATATGAACAGGGGCAACTAATCTAGAAAGATAGAAAACAGACAAGTGCTCGCTTCTGGTGGGGTAGGGAGGAAACTTCTAGCATTCTTTTAAATTTAACATTTAGCACTAAATATTTTAATATTTGTTAAATCAGCGAAGGGTAGTTGCTACTTTTCCCCTGTAATTTTTTGTGTGCATTAAGTATTACACAATTAAACATAAATATTTTGTAACAACATGAAAAAAGTTCCAATATATAAAAGCCCAAGAGTAGACTTAGAAGGTTGAAATATATGATAAAATCCCTAACACTTAAAATGTAGGTTAACTGTCAAGTGTAGACAATATAAGACAGTTTTCTAAACAAAAAATGTAGCCCCGTTAAGTTGCGCTGATATTTAACGGACAGAAGGAATCAGACGCTGGGAAGGGGCACTGATGGTGCCCTCGGTGGCTGGGCCAAGGACTGCAGTGACTGGCTTCGAGGCCGGCTTCCCTGCTTTCTGCAGACAACTCTTAAAGAGAAAACCACAGTCTCCAAATCTCATCTCTCACGCTAAAAGCCCATGATGTCAAACCTAGATTTAATAAATACCTAATCTAATTGCAGTTTCAACTTCTCCCAGAAACAGAGTCTTAATGAAGCAGTCTGGGATTTTCTGGTCAAGCACCGAAAAGGTGGTCTGTCACATGGACCCTCCCCCGTCCACCCAAAAGGAAGCCAGGGCAATCCTCCCCCTTGCCTGCTCTTTCACTCAAAAGAAGTCCTGGTCTAAAAATAATCCTCTCCTGTCCTTTGCTAATAACTGCCCTGCCCCATCCTTCTTCCTATAAAAAGGCTTCCATCTTGTACAAGCCCTCCAAGCACCCTTCGCCTGGCTGGACAGGATGCTGCTTGATTCATGAATCACTTAATAAAGTGATTTTTAATCCTCACCCAAGGATATTTTTCTATTTATCCTCAGATAGAATGAAAGAGAGAGAGAGAGAAACATGGATGTGAAAGAGACACATCGACTGGCTGCCTCCCACACTTGCAACCGGAATCGAACCCTCGACTCATTGGTCGGTGGGCCGATGCTCTGACCACTGAGCCAAATTGGCCAGAGCTTATAGACACAATTTTGAATGATATCACATTTCATACATAATCTTTAATTTTGTACTTCCCTTCACAAGCAAGGCTTAAGGCTAACTAACGTTGCTGATTTCAGCAACTGGAAAGATTTCGACCTTTACTTCCACTGTATTATCACTTGTCTCAGCAAAAGACTTTTGTTTCCAGTCCTTTTTAAAGAACAATAAGGGCAAATTGCAAAAAGATAAACAACTACTTGCAAAAACCACACAGTGTCTTTTCACTGGCGGTGCTGAAGGTGCTGAAGGTGCCACACCGGCTCCTCCAGCAGTCGTGAGAGATGTGACTCAACCCTGGGCACCCTCAGGGCACTTACTGGGGTTCTACCCTTAGGAGAACCACCATCTCACTAAATATTTTTAAGGCTTGTGGTACTATCATTTATAATAAGAAATACGTATTTTGTCTTTGTCCTGTTCTGGCACAGAGCTCTGAAAATTCTTGGAATTTCCTAAGTCATAGAAGTATAACTGCAGAACCAACTAAAACTGGTCCTATCCCGTTTCTAACGAGATACTGAGTTGCTTTTCAGAGACAACAGACCCAAACTGCAAGTCATGGCGCTCAAGCCTACAAAAAGGAGAGAGCTTGACCTCCATCACGGAACCAAAGGCCCAGGACATTCCCGGAACTGGAACACCAGAACCGTTCAGAAGCGCGGGGTCCATTGTCCAGAAAGACCCAGTGTGAACCATCAATGGCCAAGTTCCAGAGCTCTTCAAAACCTGCCTGCCAGCACTTCCCCTCCTAGCCTGTTCCCCTTAACCCTGACAACGGGCCTGAACCCTGGATTTGAGCCTCGGCTTCTCTGTCCTTGCTGGTCAACTTAGCAATAAAAGTTTCTTTTTTTCTTTTCCTCAAAAGTCGATGCCACAGCATTAGTGTCACGAGCACACTGGCTATGCATATTGTCTTTCCTATAAGCCACTCAATGCTCTGACCCCCAGATAGTATCAGGGGTGCCTGATTGAGGTTAGGACCCTAGGTGGTCACTGGGAACCTCTAGGTTCCAAGTAACAGCATTGAGCCAACACAGGTGACTGTGCCATCAACTGAGCCTTTATTACTGAAGGTTTAATCCAAACCACAAACACATCAGAACACACACAAGTCCTGGGGTTAACAAACTGAAAATCCAAGCATCCCAAATGTCCTCCAGGCCGGGCTGTTCGCAGAGCTGTGGTCACTGGTCACTCAGAGTCAGGGAAGCCTCCGCGTCCAGCGAGGCCACATCGGGCGAGGGAGGCTGCCGAACCAGCTCGAGAGAGCAAGGCCCCTTTATAACCAACGGCCACCAAGCCAGACACTCGAGCTGTCAGCACAGATCACTCGCAGGAGGCTGAATAGCAAGTGTCACTTCAGTTTCACTTTTATCCGTGTGGAGGTGTCTCCCTTCATCTGCACTTGTTCGATAAGCTGTGGTCTCTGAGATTAGTCCTTGAGTCCCAAATCAGGATATTGGCAACATCTGTGGAGGTGCCTAGTCATCCTTACCACTTGCACCTGTGGGTCCCTCCCTTGCCTGGCAGCCCAGCACTTGGCTGTGGGTCCAGACTTCTATGTGTTCAGACAATGAGGTTCAAACGCAAGGAGTTAGTTATACTAACTCTGCTGTCACAGTTGGCTCCAGAGTGTGTCAGGCAGCAGGCCCTTGCTCCAGAACAGGAGCAATAAATGTATCTCTTGTTACGTTAATGAGGTGACGTTAGAAATCACCCAAGGATGGGGGCTGTTTGTCAAATAGAGCCAACCATGTTATTAGAGTTGGAAGTTTCAATCCCACTCTCCACCTATTGGGGGGTAGGGCCTAAAGGCTGAGTGCAATCACCAGTGGTTAATGATTGCATCAGTCATGCCTGTGTCATGAAGCCTCCATAAAACTCAATCGACCGGCATGCAGAGAGCTTGCAGGTTGGTGAACACGGGCAGGTTTGTGGAGATTGGCGCACTCAGAGGGGGCACGGAAGCCAGGCCTTTTCCACGCGCCTTGCCCTACATGTCTTCCCTGAGGCTGTTCCTGAGTTATCCTAAACTGGTCATCTAAAGTAATATGTTTTTCTAAGTTCTGTCAGCCGTTGGAGTAAATTAACCAAATCCAAGGAGGGAGGGTCATTGGCGCCTCCAGTCTATGGTCAGTAAGCCACAAGCACAGGTGGTATGACCGAGGCTTGCAGTCAGCGCCTAACGTGGGGTGGGGCACTCCTGCAGGACTGCGCCCTTAACCTACAGACTCTGACACTGTGTCCAGGCAGACGGTGTCGGAATTGAGCTGAACTGTAGAATACCCAGCTGGTGCTGAAGAATTGCTTGGTGGTGGAAAAAAGTCCCCCACCCCACATATACCCCCCTGGAATTTGGGTGCTTAGAACCATTAAAGTTATATGTAAAAAAATAATTAAACAATACATTTAATAATCTTTTCAAATCAGTGTGAAGGAAGACATTTTTGCAAACTTCCACCAGAATGCTCCGTGCCTGCCTCAGTAACGAAAAGCAAGAATACAGCTCCTCATGGCTTAATTTCCACATCCAGTGTTTTCTTTGTCTTTTTATTTTTATTTTTTTAAACTTATTTTTATTGTTGAATGTATTACAGATATTACTCCTTTTTCCCCTACTGAACCCCTCCTCCCCGCTCCCGCCCCCCTCCTGCACTCCCCACACTATTGTCAGTGTCCACTGGTTATGCATATATGCGTATAAGCTCTTGGGTTTATTTCTTCCCACCCCTTACCCCTTCTACCCCCCTTCCCTTTGAAGTTTGTCAGTATAACAACCAATTTGTACTTCTTTTTTTTTTTTTTTTTATCCTCACCCGAGGATATTTTTCCATTTTTTGTACAGATAGAGTGGGAGGGAGAGAGAGTAAGGGAGAGAGAGAGAAAGATCGACGTGAAGGGACACATCGAGTGGCTGCCACCCGCACGACCAACCAGGGCCGGGGACAAACTGCAACCGAAGTACGTGCCCTTAGCGGGAACCGAACCCGGGTCTCTCCGGACCGCAGGCCGACGCTCTAACCGCTGATCCAAACTGGCCAGGGCCCAATTTGTACTTCTTAATCCCTTCACCTTTTTCACCCATTCCCCCAACCCCCCTCCCATCTGGCAACCAACAGAATGTTCTCTGTATCTATGAGAATGTTTCTGTTCTGCCTGTTCATTTTGTTTGTAGATTCAATTGTTGATAGATATGTATTTATTGCCATTTTGTTTGTTTATATTTTTTATTTTTTTCTTCAAGAAGACCCTTCAACATTTCATATAATACTGGTTTGGTGGTGAAAAACTTCTTTAGCTTTTCCTTGTC